CTGCCTTTTCTCTTAATTTATCAAATATAGCAAACTGGACGATGGTTCGAATGACTCAGATCTCTGAGAATAACTACTTTGATCATTTTAAATGTTTTCTGGGAATATTTTTTAAAAATACTAAGCCAGTTGTTTTTATTTCAAATAACCCCTAATAGTACCTCAAGTTTTTATAGCGCATAGTTAAGCAAAACATAATCTGATAGGAATATACTATTTATTTGAAAAACAAAACAAAAATCTATCTTATTGAGAAGGGAAAAATACATGTCTCAAATCTAGGCCCAGATTGGAGCCAAGCCAGGAAAATCGCAGCATAGATTATATATTGACCATGGATTTAGGATGATTAGAATATGAAAGAAGGGAAACCCCTGCCAGGCCAGGACAGGGAGTGGTACATATAAACCGGAGGTAAGGGTGGGAGGCAGGTGGAAACACTTCAAAAGGCTTGAGAGATACCAGAGAAGTGGCAGGGAAGGCCTGAGCATCACAGTTGGCAAGGCACATGGCTCTTCTGCCCACAGGGCAGATCAGTAGAAGAGCAGTGCCCCAGGGAGGTGCCTGGGGGTGAGGGTGGAGGTGGGAGTTGGGGGAACACTGGTCGCCTCAGTTTAGTGAGAGTTTCCAGGGCCCCAGAGGCAAGTGTGGAAGAGCTGGGTGGTTTGACAGCCCAGAGGGACTGTGGCTGGGCTGGGAATGCCCTAGATTGCAGACATCTCCCAATCAGAGTCCACAGGCGTCGGTGGAAGTCAGTAGCGGATGCCAGTGCCACACCCACAAACCAGGTGGCGGGAGTCACATCCAACTGAGGCCAGCGGAGGGTGCCCAGCGTCTGGGGTCAAGAAAGCTCAGTGAGGTTCTGGATTCCAGCCCACGGCTTTGATATCCCTCACTCCCCAAACCAATGATGCCATGCCTCCCCCACCCCCACCCCTACCCCCAGGTGCCATGGCAGGAGGAAGGGACATGGAGAACCCAGAGTGAGGAATAGTCCTGAAATGGCATTTAAATTATGCATTGCTTCATTTGTACCTGGAGTGGAAAAAATAAGTCCCAAGTTTAAAAAAAAAATTAAATTTGTGTGCCTAATTTTTTTTTTTTTGGAGGAGAGGAAGACTCAGAAAGAAAATTGAATTATATTAGAAAAATAAATAAATTCGCATACTAGTATCTGCCCTTTTGATTTCTTGAGTGTGATTTTTATGCCTGCTTCAAACACAGGCCTTCACCTTTCCTCAGCTGAGCAGCAGGCAGAAGTAGCACCGTTTAGTGTGAATGTCTGCTTGCCTGCTTGCTTCCTTCCCCCACTACCACGAAGGAGCCCGAGGAGGCCAGCACTCTATGCTACTCACTTCCCCCAGTGTAGACAGGACTTGGCACGTGGCTTCTGGTTGCTTGGAATGGAATCTTAGCTTTGCCACTTGGTAGGTATTTAACCTCTCAGACCTCAGATTCCACCGGGAAGATGATGACACCTGCTTGTTTTGGCTGCTCGAACGAGAGGATCTCTGTAGCATTTAGTACTCGCCTGGATGAAATGTTTGTTATTTCTCTTATCACCACTATTGTTCCGAATCCCACCATGTACATAAACTTCAGGCAACCTGCTCCCTGACAGCAGCCCTTGAACCCCAAAGAAAATGCAGCTTAAGCTCAAGTTGAGTCTCTACATAGAACCGATTCAATTCCAGTCATTTAGAATCTGAGCCAAGTATTTACATAAATTAGCTTAATGGTTTATATTATTATACAAATGACACAAGCTCACGATATAATATTCAGGCAATCTAAAAACATTTCCAATGAAAAATGCACCTCCCCCTCTCCTTAGAACCTCCGTCTCTCTATCTTTTCTTAAAATTTAATTATTTAATGTATTTTTTTCTTTTTTTACTGGATTTATTGGGATGACATTGGTTAATAAAATTATTTAGGTTTCAAGTGTATAACTCTATAATAATACATCATCTGTATAGTGTATTGTGTGTTCACCACCCCAAGTCAAGTCTCTTTCCATCACTATTTATCCCCCATTTACCCTCTTCTGTCTCTCCCCACCCCCATTTCCCTCTGCTAATCACCAACTGTTGTCTGTGTCTATGAGTTTGTTTGTATTTTTGCTTTATCCCTTCACCCAGCCCCCTAACTCCCCTCCCCTCTGACAGTTGTCAGTCTGTTCTCTATCTGTGGACCCAGAGAATATTACGCTAAGTGAAATAAGCCAGTCAGAGAAAGACAAGTACCACATGATTTCACTCACAGGTGGAATCTAATGAACAAAATTAACGGATGGATAGAATAGAAACAGACTCAGGCTCACTGTCTTGAGGCAGCTGCCTGCAGCAGTCTCCTGCATGTTGTCCCGGGAACCTCTGATGCACATACACTGGTAGACATGTGTGCTTGCAACAGGTCTGAGTGTGGTCCCCGATTCTGGTATAATGAATGTCTCTCCCCCAAACATGAAGGTTGATAGCAAATGAAACCTGTCATGCTTGACAGAGTGCCTTCCTTAGGGGGCGTAAGACTCTTAGGAGCAGAAAGGGTATAACAGTGGGGAAGACCTGACTTAAGGGCCCACCATCATTATCACATCATTATTACGTCATCATTACTGCTGTGGCTGCTCCATGCAATGGATGCCATTGGGCCTCAGATGGGCTCAGGGTGGTCCTCATACCCTTTTCTGCCCCAAGCCCAGGCTCAGCTACAGACACCCTCTCTGCGTCTCTCGTGATAACCTACAGACATTTAGCAGTCAGTCCTCCAGAAAGTTCCCTGAAACACCTCGTCACTACTTAACCTCAGGGAAGCTACCTCTCAGCTGAGCTGTTTCCATTCTTTAATGCAAAGCCTGAGCTTCCATCCCCTGTGGGAACACTCAGAAGAATCCCCTAGATGCCTAGGACTGGGTGTGTTTTGTCTCTCCTCATCCAGCAACTTTTGATTTTGGCTGTAAAACTAAGAGCTGTTGACAATCCAGAGCAAGACAGCCCTAAAATCCTGTCTGAGAAAAGAAGAAAAATGGGCCAGGAGCAAGGAATACAAACAAAGAGACACAGCTCTTGATTTCTTTCGAGTAGTTTACTGTCTAGAGTGGAAGAAAGTAAAAAAGGATTTAAACAGTGTGCTAAGCACTAGCATAAAAGGATGCACAGATGCAAGGAAACACAGTGGGGATCTCTAAATGAGACTGGGGGGGGCATCCTGGAGGGCTTCATGGAAGAAGTGATACATAGATGCAAAAAAATTTTAAATATTGTTTAAAACAATAAAGCAGTTAGTATTGAATGAAGTGTTCAGACACCAGAGTTGACATACCTAGGCTGCCATTCTGGCTCCCCCATTTGTCAGTTGTCTGACACTGGGCAGGTGACACACATAACCTTTTAAAGTCCAGTTTCACCATCTGTAAAATGGTGATGAAAATAGCACCTGCCTTATAGTGTTATTGTGAGAATTAAAGAACATAAAGCACATGCAGTTCTTAGCCTGGGGTCTGGAACACATTTACTCCTCAATAAATACTTACTTGTTATTACTTTTATTGTTACCGTTGTTTCATACTCTAGTCCGTATGTGGCTCTAATCGGGTTTCCTAAACATGTGGTCTTCTCGATAAATTTCAGAAGTGTTTCAGAAAGGCTTGATTCCTTCACCAGGGGAGATGTGGTGGGAGTCACAGACGCACTTGGATGTATGAGGAATCTACGAGAAGATGCCAGAGAGGAGGCTGTGTGGGACCCTGGGTGAATGCCAGTCAATCAGAATTTTTATCTGGAAACCTCCCTGTAGTTTGGAAACGAAGCTAGAAGCCAAGGTGGGAAAGGGTGGGGCTGCCCGGGGCTTTCAGCATCCCTGACCACTTCAGGCCCCGTCCCTGCTCCAGTGCATGGCCGCGTCAACAATGAGCAGGCCCCACCTTCTCTGGACTATCTTCTCCATCTCCGAAAAAACACAAACAAAGTGGAAGGAAGGAAAAGACACAATGGGCAACATGTTAGGAAACACTTTTTATTTTTTTTCAGAGTTCCTGGCAGTGAGCAAGCTTTTCTGTTTTGGGGTACAATTATTTGGACATTTAAAATATCAGAAGGTCACAAGAAGAACGCTTTATGGAGGTCTGACAAAACCAGTCCATCTACCCATTTTCTCGATGAGGAAGTTGAGATCCAGACAAGTTCAAAGAGGAAATGGAAAGAATCAAGGGTGCTGAGGACTGAAATCAATTACCTGGAGGATGTCTAGAGGGTGACCGCACAAGACTGACCGAGGACCCATGGGTGACAATGTTAGGAAGCCCATTTCCGTCAGGAGAAGAGGCTAATAACCTTCAACGCTGCTCAGAGGCAAAGGGGATGCACCGTGGGAGGCTGAGCCACCACCTCAAACACTGGAGGGTGGAACCAGTGAACAGAGGAGAGGAATGGGGGACCTGGTGGCCCTCGGGAGCCCTTCCTAACACTGGGCTTCTAATGTGCTTCAAAGCAGCCAGTTGACCCCTGGCTGGGCAGTTCAGTAGGTTAGAGCATTGTCCTGGTACTAGGACACCAAGGTTGCAGGTTCGATCCCTGGTCAGGGCACATATAAGAATCAATAAATGCATAAATAAGTGGAACAACAAACCTCTCTCTCTTTCTCTTTCCTCCCTCTCCCCCACCTCCCTTTTCTCTCTCTGACTCTTTCCCTTCTTCTTTCTTCCTCTAAAATCAAATTTTTTTAAAAGCAGCCAGTCAAAAGACATTGGGATTGCCCTTTTCTCTCTCTGACTCTTTCCCTTCTTCTTTCTTTCTCTAAAATCAATTTTTTTTTTTAAAAGCAGCCAGTCGAAAGACATTGGGATCATTATTACTTGGGCAATTCAGGCATTTACATTTCAGTGATTCAGTACATTTCTGGTGGTTTCCGTAAATTACAGGTAGACACACCTGCAATTGTGACGTTCCCGTGTTCCGGAGGTGGGAAGATGGCAGAGAGGGTTGGAGCTCATCAAACACCATCGCCTTTTATTGTCTGTGAGCTTTGGGGAAACTTGCTGGCCAAGTCCCTGTGTCCTCACCTGGAAAACCGGTGGCTGTGTTGACTGAATAAGGTAGTGTATGTGCAGGTGCTCTACTAAATTGCTGATATGATTAATAATATTTAAAGATGGAAACTAGCAGTGACATATAGGACCACACAGATAAGACTTCTGTGTGCTGAAACTATTTTTAAAAATAATGATTTTCCTTCACAGCTAATTCAGGTCATAACTAGTATCTCGAATGATTCATGTCTTTCATGTGTGTGCAGACAGAGATAATCCCTATATTTTCCCGGTGAGTTTTTTCCAGCTGGGAAGGAGCTAGGCATGTAAGTCACCTTACAGGAAAAGGAATTTCTATATATAAAAGCGTAATATGCAAAGTGTTCCCTCGGGAGTTCGACCAGGAGACCGGGAGTTCGATCACTCACTATGACGTGCGCTGACCACCAGGGGTCGGCGCAGAACAAAAGAAGCTGGGGAAGGAAGGCCCCGGCCGGCAGCCAGCAGCTGGAAGGACTCAATCGGCCCTGATTGCTGGCCAGGCCTAGTCCCCGTGCACGAATTTCTTGCACTGGGCCTCTAGTCTTGTAATAAGCTTGAGAATGGCCAATGTTTGTTGTGACAGAAACTCCTTTAAAGTCTTTCTAGTTAAGGTTCAAGTCCAACATCTGGAGCAAAAATCCTGTCTCCACCACTTAGCTATGTAACCTTGGTCAAGTTACTTCAACTCTTTGAAAGCAGATCTTCTCATCTGTAAAACATAAAGGCTTTAGAATAGTAGCAGGAACAGAGTAAAGGTTTAATAACTCTAAGTGGTTATTATTGTTGTTGTTGTTGTTATTATTATTGGTGTTGTTTATTTTATTATTAGAAGTGTTGTTGTTGTTATTATTATTATTATTATTATTATTGGTGTTGTTTATTTTATTATTAGAAATTGGTACCCAGAGAGAAGAGGGGGCGAGTCCAGGGCCAAACAGGGAGGTGTACACTATGAAGGGAATCCAAGGTTGTTTTTGTTTTGCCCTTGCAGGTTAGTTCTCTTTTCATTACAGCCCCTCTGGTTTCCAGTGAGCAGCCTGTGTTCATAGATTCAGCTTGTGAAAGCCATCAAGATACTGATCAGATTTCATACCTCTAACCCTCACTTCTACCAGCTTCCACTTAGTCCCGCCCCTTCCATGAAACCTTCCCGTATATTGCCCAGAGAAATATTGACCACTTCCTCCCCCCGTAGAAATAGTGATCATAAAAACAAGTCCAAGGCATTTCGCAAGACTTGTCACTTCCCAGCCCTGGACTTTTATTTCCCCATTTGTAAATGAGAAGAATGTCAGAGAGTAAATAAACAATTGACTGTTGACTGGGAGCTGGGCAATGTGCTAGATGACAGAACAAAAGATGACGTAGACCAGCTCCCTGCTCCCAAAGATTTTATAGTTTTACAGCAAGAAACAGGAGAGGCTACAGATAGTTAAATGTGAAGTTAGAAGTACTGTTATAAAAACATCTGCTCCCCAAGAAAGAGATTCTCAATTGAGATTTGAATGAATAGGTAGAAAAATGATTGTATCAAGGGTGTGGGGAGTTAGCAAAAGTGAAATTTGATTTAGGTCTTCTTAACAGAAAGGGAAGAAGGAAAGGAAAGAGGAATAAACAGCATGCCCAAAGGCTCAGAGGTATCAAGAAATAGAATAAAGTGGTTAGTAATGGCAAAATAATTCTGTGTGCTGGAGGAAATTGAGGGAGGGCAGTGAGGGCAGAGGAGGCAGTAGAGGAAGATGAAATTGAAGATGGTCTCTGCCTCCCTCATTAGACTATTGGCAAAGGGAGGACAGATCTTGGTCACCATTTCCTCCTTTTTTTGTCCAGCCGGTAAGAGGTGCATTTGCTGAAAAATAAGAGGAAAGAGTCACATGGCTAAGCATTACATGCCATTCTATGGGATTTGGATTTTCTCTTGTACCAAATAGGGGCACTGAAAAACTGTTGAATAGAAATGACCTCAGTTGACTGTATCTTTGGAAAAGATGGGCCTGGAAGCAGAGACAAAGACAGATAGAGACGACTGAGACTGGAAATAGGAGTGTCTGTCAGGAGGCTATTTTACTCATTTAGGTGAAAAAGGATAAGGCTCTGCAATCAGTGGTAGTAGTGAAAAGGAAATCTTAAGGGAAGAATTGCTGGAACTTAGCAGGTAGTTGACTGTTGAGAGTGAAAAGCAGGAAGCATCAGGCATTACTGAGATTTCTCTCATTGGAAGTTGGTGAATGGCATTCTGTTTGGCCTGTTGGGTAAAAAGTACCAGTGGATCATCCAGAAAAAGATGCCCCTATGGGCAGCCGATGTCCAAGTCCCTTCCAGGTCTCGCATTGCAACCTGCTCTACTTAACTCCAACATGCACTGGCATCTTTCTAGTAACTGTTAATAATACACCTTTCCTGGACTTCTGAAGCAGCCTTCCACATCCACTCCGTTCTCCAGGCCGTAACCAGCACACTTTCTTCTGAGACAAAGATAGGAGTATCACATCTCTTTCCTTAAAGCACTTCAATGGCTGCTCATTATAATGTTTCATTCAGTGTCCTAGATACAATCTAAATTACTCGCATACAAAGAATCAGGGAAATGTGGCTCATACTTGAGAGAAAAGGCAATCAAAGGAGACTGACTCTGAGATGACCCAGATGTTGGAGTTAACAGATAAAAATTTCAAAGCAGCTATTATAACCGTGTTCAGGAATGCAAAGTAAAATAATTGTTGTAATACATAAACAAATAAGGAATCTCAAAAAAAAAGACTACTAAAAACTGGAAATTCTAGAGCAGAAAGATACAACATCTATATATATAAAAGGCTAAGTGTCCAACCAAGCTACCAGTCGCACTGACCACCGGGGGCAGATGCTCAACATAGGAGCTGCTGAGCTGCAGTGACTTGGCAGCAGCAGTTCTCGGGTGATGCACCCCGAAACCAGAGAGAAGGGAGCCCGATTTCTTGTGGGGCCATGCAATTCCACCTTTGGCTGTGGGTTATGTTGTTGCTGGGACACTGTTGGACCCGAATCTGGTTTACTGCACACTTGTGTTTGCATTCCACACCCTGTATGACAGCAACTTTGCAGAGTGCCCTCTCGCACTCCAGGACCCCTTGGGGGATGTCAGAGAGCCAGTTCGGCCCAATCCCCACAGGTCAGGCCGAGGGACCCCACCTGCTGAAGGGACCCCACTCACTCCACAGACATGGGGGAGGGACCACAGGAAGTTGGCTCCAGAGCGTGTCCGGTCCATCTCGCCCAGTCCCACCTGCCGGCCACCTTCTAATTAATTTCCTTTCAATGTGCATGAATCCATGCACCAGGTCACTAGTCTGAAATAAAAAATGTACTGGATTAGTTTAACAGCTGATGAGAGATTACAGAAAGAAGATTCCATGAACTTGGAGATAGAGCAATAGAAATAATCCAATCTAAAGAAAAGAGAAAAAGGACTAAAAATAATGTAATATATTTTTTGTGCTTTGTGGGGCCATATAAAAAAAAAGGATGAACAAAAATATAAGGAATATGAGAAGGAAAGAATTAAGAGACTAGAACAGAAAAAAATCTTTGAAGGAACAAATTTACAGATTCAAGGAGAACAGTAATCTCAAACTATTTAAAATAAATACAAAGAAAAACATACCTAGGTATATCATAGTCAAACTGCTGAAAACAAAAATTAATTTTGAAATGGCACATTCCACCAGGGAACAACACTAGAAACCACCTCTGACTCCTCATTGGTGATGATGGATTCCAGAGGAGAAAGAGGCTCTGCCTTGAAAATGATAAAAATAAAAGAGAGAGAGAGAGAGAAGGAGACAGCAAAGCTAAACTTGTCAACTTGGAATTCTACATCAGTAAAAGCATTCATCCTTCAAGAATTAAGATGAAATAAAGATATTTTCAGGTAAAAGTAAACTAGAGAATTTATTATCCACTAACCTATGCTACAAGGAAAACCAAAAGAAGTTCTCCAGGCCAAAGCAAAATCACACCAGATTGAAATGTGGCTCTCCAGTAAGAAAAGAATTCCAGATATGATATAACAGGAAAGTATTTTTTTTAAAGCTTTTTTTCCTCTTAACATCTTTAAAGTACATATGACTATTTAAAGCAAATAATTTAACTTTGAATTGTGGGGCTTATAATATTTACATATGAAAATCTCTGACAACTAAAGCATAAAGGCCCAGTGTTGGGAGGGGGCACAGTAAATGGACTTATGTGGTTGCAAGTTTCTTTCATTTAACATAAAGTGGCACAATATTAATGCTAAGGAGACTGAAATGTGAAAAATGTAGGTTGCAATCCCCTAATGCTACCCTGAATAATAATAATAATAATAATAACAACAATACCACCACGAAGGGATATAGCTAAAAAGTCAATAGATAAAATGGAATTACAAAATAATTAAATTATCCTTTAAAAAAGCAGGAAAGGAAAAACAGAACAAAAACTAACGGAACAAATTGAAAATAAATAGTAAAACATAGGCCTAGCTCGCCATCAGAATGTAGGCGCTATAAAGACAAAGACCATATTTACCTATGATTGACCTGAATGAGTGGGTGAGTGGGTGACTAAATGCATGCTCCCTGAGCACCAGCTCCTCCAAGGCCTGGGGGTCTCCGCGTGACTTCTTGTGATAAACAGGACTGTATTTTGTATTTGTTTATGTTCTGCTCACCAGAAAGTTTTCAGCATTTTGGGTTTGTAATTTCTTTGTAACTCCTTCGAATGTGTGGAAAGACATGGGCTAAAAGTTGAGTTAGATCATTCTTTATGTTGAAATTACACAAATCTACTCGTCAAGAAAATAAGTTCCTTTTCTGTACATGGAAACTTGGCTGTGTACAGAGTGTTGCCTAAGGAAGTCCCCTGGGATTTTCTGGGTTACTTTGGCTTTTTCTGTGAGACATGGATGCAGAAATAGTAATAATAAGCATTTGGATCACATTGTCAATTTTGAATTCAAGAAGATTCCAACTGTAGGGAGAAGTAGAAGGTCTCCAACCAAG